TTTTACTTTTATATGCCAAATATGATTTTTAGGCTGAAATATGTTCAAATTTAGCATTAACTTATTTTTGATTTTTCTGGCAGTTTCCCTCCTTTCTATTGCAAAGGCCCCTATATAATCAAGGCTAAGGGGGATACACAAGGTGATAACAAAAGGTAAGCCAATAAATAAATGTGTTAGTATAGCATTGTTATTTTCTTTTGGATTAAATCTAACCGGTTAAATATTGATTACCGAAAGTCACATAAATAATGCAACGTCAAAAATTTAAAAATCATAGCATAGTTTTTTTTCACATGATCAAATCAGAATAAATTTTTTATTTTTTAATAAAGTTTGATTTAGGAAATTCAATAAAGTTTATTTTATTTTGATATAATTTATGATTAAAAAGTTATATTGATTTAAAGTTTTATGTTTAGTGGTTGTATTACTTTTGTGAGCTACTATATTATCGAAGGACTGAATCATAATTTTGGAGTATATCAATAATGGTTAGTAAAAGGCATGAGATTCGTGGCAAAAACTATTATATTATTCTCACAAGAATATTCATGACTTAAGTTCTGCCTGCTAAGTAAGAAAACAAAGGTCAAAAGTGTGACTTGCGCTTTTTATCAATATCTGGAATAGACATAGGGAATGGAAAGTAATCCTTCACAAGACTGTTGGTGACCGTTGTAGATCTGCTAGAGTTAACCAGTCCATTTTAAATGACTTGTTAAATCTCAATCTCATTGACGAGCAGGCTAAAAATATTAAAGTACCTTTTGTGCAGGTATGTGATACAAGTGGTCAAATATTAATTGAAGATTTGATTGAAAGCTTCTATGTAGTATTTCCTGAACCAAAATTTGAGCTTCCTACAAGGCTTCTGCATATTAAAAGGCTCAAATCTGCTGTCAATATTACAAATTATATTATGGTAAGTTTAATTCCATTTTTATTGTCAAATAAGTTTTACATATCTAATCCATATTAATATTTTACATAGGATATGTATGAGCAAACAAATGAAATAGCAGAAACTCAAGAAAATACATGTCATTAATTCAATAATATTTTTAATGATGATTCCAATATCAAATCTACTCACTATAAAGCCAAATATATACATAGATCATGGTGGTTCCCAAAGAGTAAAAAATTGTAACAGGAAATTTTTTTTTGCTATATGAAAATCATATCATGTATAGAGGACTGCTAAAAGCCTTTGAACACCATTTTTTAGGTCTGATTTCATGTCAGTAACATTATATAACACAATAACACTGCGGGCATATGATGTTTCAGATCTTGTTTATATGAATCAAACTTAATAAATGCATGTTTAATTTGTTTATTTTGACTTTAAATCAAAATAAACTTTATTTTCTGAAAACAACGAAAATGTTCTGAGAATTAACTACTGAACAAAGAGGCGCCATATTTTTTTGTCACCAACGTGATGATAGTTATTGAACTATTACTTCGACCGTTGGTTGTGAAATGATAACAGTATTTGATACTTTAAAAAGAATAAATGAAATCAGAACCATAAATTCAAAGCCTTGTTCTGGTCGATCACCACTTATTGAAGCTTCACAACTAAAGATGGTATAGCAATTGATTTCAAATTTACAAAATGTTGTAACATAAGCTAAAATTAGTTACAACATACGTTGCAACATTATAAG